CGAGAGTATAATCTAGTACTAGTGTGCATGTTAACCTGAACCACATGTTTATTCGAAATTCATTGTGGATTTGTTGCGTTTCTTTCCTGTAGACGAACGGCTTCTAGTTAAAAAATATATATTTTGGACTTATTTGCATTTTCTCAAAGAGCATAACTTAAAAAAACGGTGGCATAATTTGGAAAAAAGAGCATAATTTTAGCATAATTTGGCCAAAAAAAAAAGCAATGCTACTAGCATAATATGCCACTTTTAGTAGCATAATCTATAAATGCCTACCTGTCGGGAGTGCGGTCTAACGTCCGTGACAGAGGCGTGACAAAGAGCTGCCGTGACAAAGAGCTGCCGTGACAAAGAGGATAAACACTATTGTCACACCCAGATTCTATCGTGTTACTTTAGAATATAGAATATAGAATATAGAATATGGGTAGTCTGGGTATGAGAGGTATGAGACCGTTCTTGGAGCACAGAGAATGTAAATAAACCCGTAAAACTGTCAGAAGCTAGCGCTGAGTTTCCGAGGAGTAGTTTTTGCTCTCCCCTTCCTGGTTCAGGATATATTTCTGTTTGCAAAGGAGCATATTTTTTGCAATTTTTAAACTAAGCACAAGGTACATAATGCATGCATGATTGATTCATGTATTTCACTTACTCGATCCAGCTCTTCAGCCAGAGAGTGGGATGGAATAGTGTTGCCGCTGACAAAATACTTAGATCCCAGAAGGCGCGGATTGTCTACATCACGAACACCAGCCGACGCCATTCACCGACCAAGCCACGACGATTAGGCTAACGACCGGTGCAAGATGGCGTCCCAGTTAAATGCTTGGAAACTAGCTGTTTTGAATGCATTTCTCTTAATTAACGGTACGTGGTCAGTTTTTGATAACACCAAAAATTCAAAAACGCTTCTTTAAACGTAAGATAGTCAGCTGAGGATATTTTTCCGATTCAAACTAGAAATACGTAGTGGTAATATATTTCGGCCATCGTTGTTTACAGTAAACAGTTACGAGATTTTAATATTTTTGAAAGCATTTCAGTTGTGAAAAAGTTGTAAGAAAGAAAAAAAAGAAAAGAGGGCTGTGAGGTGTTCCACAATCAGTCGTATTTTACTCATATTTCAAAGAAGCAACCAAACATCTCCTCACAAATATTTCTACTAAATATATCCATGTTGGAATTGTTGGGATGAAAGAGTACGTATTACCTCGTTGCTTTGGAAATATAACAAAAAACGTGCGATTTTAACTTAAATACTGCTTTGATCCGCTTTGAATCAACATTCATTATTTCTATATGAGATGTTCAAGTCAAGATAAATTGCAGCATGTGAAAGATATATGCATGGTGACGAATTAAACTTGATTGTTTGCAGCAAATGAGACCTAAGTTTACAAAACTATCTTAATTCATTTGTTATCATACTTTTTTTTAATCATACAGTCTGTACTGTAAGTTAAGGACTGAGTTTTTTTTCTGTTCAGATTTATTGCCCAAGTGCAAAGTGCATGGGCCATAAATCTGAATAGAGAAACACAAGGTTCTGTAACTTGCGGTACAGACAAGTACAGAAAAACAAAGTAATTTGGTAATATCAACTCAGTTAAAATTGTAAATTGGCCACTGTGAAGAGTTTAAAAGCTGACATTTTGAGCATTAGCCCTTCATCAGAGCTCTGACGAAGGGCTAAAACTCGAAACGTCAGCTTTGTAACTCTTCACGGTGGCCAAGTTACAATTTCAGCTTAGTTGATATTACCAAATTACCTTGTTACCCCACTGATGTAGCACCACAGTTTCTTTAAAAGCTTACCCCCTTTATACAGAAAAACACGTGAAGTAAGATATTTTTCTTTTGGATCCTGGATGGAAATAGACAGGGAAGATTTCAAACAAACTTTTGAATTTAGTGGTTTGTACATCGTAGATACCTTAATCAATGACATTTTGCGAGTTGGGTCATATTTTTTCAAGCTTGTCAGGAAAGGAGAAATTGCAAGCAATGGGCCAAAACAAATTGTGTGCTTGTATCATATGTTGAACCATAGAATAGGGGATTTATTATTTCACTAGTGTCTAGTATTTTGTCCTCTAGTTTTTGATACACATCCTATGGCCTCATTTGAACTTTTTGCCAATGACGTAAGGCATGCGGGAAAGATAATAACACCAATGAAACCATTAAAGGGTTATCATGGCAACAAAAGCATCTGAAACACTTAAAGTTTGTTGTTATTAAAGGGAAGGGTAAGAAACCGGAAAAAAAGGAACCAAAATTTAAATAGTTCAGAGAGGCTGTAGTTTTGCCTTGTCCTATAGTGTAATAACATGACGTATTTTGTGTGTTCTATTGCCCTAATATGGTAAAATGACACAGTAGTGCTATAATATAAAGTGAAATATGGCACACTAAATTGACCAATGATATTGCACATACTTGCGTAGTAATAGTACTCAATGGTTACTTCAAACAGGCTTGGTTTGTACTTCCTCATTAACAACAACTAATAGCACCTCTGTGAAAGTTGGATATTTATGGGAAGATCCAAAACAGGAAAATGTACATACTTCAGAAGTTGTTATGGACAAGAAACACACAAGAAGTATCTTGAGACTTATTTGTGAAATCTACCCTGGATTACCAAGTGAGGGAAAGTATTGGGACATGAAAGATGAACTTGTTAGGTGGCAGAAAACAGGTCCCAAAGTGGAGGATGTCAAAAGTGTACGCTACTGGTCTGATGACATGACCAAAACTGCCATTTCTTTCTCAAACATTACACTTGACATCCTTGGAAGTTATTCATGTATCTATGGTGATGTTTCAGCCACAATTGATGTTTTAGGTGAGACAAATGTGTTGTGCGTAATTTGTGGAAATGTTAAGCTTGTTTCAGAGACCAGACTAATTTCATGAACTAAACCTTCATGTACATGGTAATTTGAATTTTGACTGATCCAAACCAGAAAAATGTCAGTTCACTTGTCAAACTAAATTAGCCTTTCCTAGCACAGTTCAGGATTTTTTCTGTAGTTTCCGGGAAAATACATTGTCAGTAATATTAGTAACTTGACTGTACATTAGATTTGGTACAAGACACATGAAGAGTCTCAGAATCGCCATCATGGAATCAAAAGCCCAACCAAACTCAGGGCTGGACACTAACAGTAGCCCACTAGCCATGACTAGTAGAAATTCAATTTTGGCTAGCGGTTTTTGGTTTCCACTAGCCAGTTTGACTGGTAAAAGAACTGAAATTGTTGTAGCATCTAAGATGTCACCAGCCACTTGGCTAGTAAGTTGAAAAGTTAGTGTCAAGCCCTGCAAACTTGAACTTCCTGAACCCTTGACACTCTCACTTCAGTATGATAATTCTACTTGTAAATGTATTCTCCATACTTGTCTTCATACATTTCCTTTGTTACTGACATGGAGAATTTCTGTAACAATCAAATCTTTTTAGGGTCAGTAATCATTTTTGTTGTCCTCATAATTTCAAGAAATCATCTCGCATTATTATCATATGGGAAAAACTAGATGAGAGGTTGAAAGGGTTAATACTCTAGTAGTTTATTAATTAGAACACTCACTTTTGATTTGTTGAATCACCATGTTGTAGTTTGAAATGATTTTAAGAATGAAGTTAAATTTGTCTTTTTTTTTGGAAGGATCATTATTGTTGTGTAATTTGTATGCAAAGAAATCACTTGTGGATTAAAATGGCCGACCGAAAGACCTGAAAGAGCTTGAATGTCTCTCAAAAGAAAAACTAGAAACTGATGTATGAAACAGGAATGCATGCTACATATACCTCTTATATCCGCACTGGGAATTACATGACTGTGCTTAGTAACCCTGCCTCATTAACACCCAATTGATTCAACTCTTTAACACCATAACAGTTATAGTTACTGTAGTGTCAATCAGAAAAAGAACACGTTTGGAATCATTTTTACCTGAAGTACAATTCTAAACCACAACATATAATTATATCCACTAAAATAGGTGGTGATCTAAATTGATGCAAATATTAGAAGAGACTGTTAACTCCATACTGTTCTTTATACATTTCCTAAGGTACTGACAAGGAGAATTTGTTTAACAGTCAAAAGTTCTGTTTGGTGATCATTTCTTCTATTCTCATGACCTTAATGTTTGATTCAGGAGTGACGCTGTAAGGAGAAATTAGATGCCAATCCCTCCAAGAGGTTAAGGGGTTATAGAAATATATTTGGTCCCTTTTTTCAAATAAAAATGTACAATGTAACATCTAAATGCTATTTTGTTAATAAATGCCTTTTAGTTGCTGATGCGGAGACAGCTAAAATTTTGAAAACCCCAGAAAATGTGATTGAGCTACATACTTGCATCTCGTACATGAAGGATAAATCTGGGATAAGTGGATGGAGAGATGAACAAAATCTCTTACAGGTGAATTTAACATTTAGCAGCTTTTGCTATAGGTAATGAACAATTTTTGGAGCTTTAATCTTGAATTATTAGTCTAAGACTAGTATTCAACAGAAACTGCAATGCTGAGAAGACTAGAATAAGACTACCAGACTTTTTAGGCATTAAAAAATTATATTTTGAATCTTTGTTAATTATTTCATTGTTAATGATAACTAAAATTATTAATTTTGTTTCTTGTACAGCCTATTGGAACCAAAGAAAACTGCCCTGTGGTGCAGAATTCACAGCATGCTGCAACAACAGGTTGTTATTAACTGAATTATTTTATAACACTTTGTTTTGTGACTGGTGCAGTATACTAACAAGACATTAGTACAGTACTCACAACCAATGAGATGCTCTAACTGCCAACAAGACTGGTTTCAACGCGCGCTTTAACTTTGTTACATTTCAATCGATTATGGTTGCTAAAGGAACAAAATAATTACTTGTTATTGCAAAATACAAGTACGTAGCAGGAATAGAAATGTACACAACAGAGGAAAAGCAATCAGACAAGGAAAAACACAAATGTTGTATGATTTTGTGGACATGTAAGACCAAAAACAAGGAGTAGATCACAGTAAAATGATCAACGTTGATCTCAAGGACTCTGATACTCTAATGCTGAATTTTACCAAGACACTTAATATACAAAATGAAATTAAACAAAGCAAAATCATACGAAAAAATCTAACAGAATATAAATCAACGCGAGTGAAAGAATGCGAAAAACAATATTAAGAAAAATGCGCATGCAAAACACAAAAAGTGTAATTAGGAACATAAATGGGAATGCTGCACAAACAGATGCAGAACTTATACCTAAGCCATTTGTGACTTTGTCTTACCATTTTTCTTGTACTTAAGACAGTATTGAAATACTAGTTTATGGAGAATTTGCACGGCCAGTTACCATAAATATTTACCTCTAGTTTGCTCTTCTTCAAATTATTTACACTCAAGTTGGGCAACGATTACGGTCAGATCAACATATCATAAGTTTTTAAATACCTTAAAGCAAAGAGTCAGTCAATAATACTCAGGCCCGTAAGTTTGGAAGAGATGAATTGCACTTGTTGTGTTGCAATTGAAGCATGTTATTTAAGAACCAAATCATGCACTTTACATCATGTGGGTTTTGCTACTTAACACTTTCACTCCAAACATCTTGTTAATGGTAACTCTCCGTACTGTCTGCCAGCCATCCAATTCTTATGATGTTACATGTGGTTCTGAGATTTTGCTATTGGTTCAACTAATAATCCCCTAGTTTATATTTTTCTAAATTCTCATCACTGGTCTGCTTGATATTGTTCTGATAAGTTAAGGAGAAGTTCTGTCTTGGTCACTTATGGGAATTAAAGGCCAGGGTCCAGTTGTTCGAAGGATGATTAGCACTAACGGTAAACCTAAGGTTAAATTTTAATCCATGTTTCCTTATTTCTGTATTCAAGAACCTTTTTGGGATAATTTTCCCTATTCTTTTTGAGGGCATCCGATCATCAAACTGTAGATGAAAATAGTCGAACTGAACTTTCTTTTAAAACTTTCTGATCTGAAATGAAATTTCACACTAACCCTGGGTTATCTTAACCCAGCTTTGAACAGCCCGACCCAGGTTAATTTTATTAGTAATGATTGTGGACTATTATAATATTCATTTGTCTTTGTTTATTTTGTTTTGTCTTTTAGTTCACCAGCTTTATGCCTCAGATTTCAAGGTCATTGCAGCAATGGGAGATTCGTTTACAGTATGTTTTTATTCTCATGAGATATGTGTTATTTAATTTTCAATCTTCATTCAAAAATTACAATGAGTTATATGTTCCTCTGACAACTACTGTTTTGATTTTTTTTTTCCCATTAGGTTGGCCAAGGAGCCAGAGCAACATCAGTAAATGGATTTTTCTTGGATCATAAAGATTTCTCTTGGAGGTAAAAATATTTTTACTAGTCATGATAAATTTACTATCAATGGTGGTGTAAATTGTACTTTAATTATGTTTGGACACCAGTCCAGGGAAATTTTAGCTAAAATAAGTACCATGAAATCAGGCAGTATTAGCAAAACTGGGTGACTCAGAGATGTCATCATAGTGTATGGTTTATTGTTTTCAAAAAGAGCTTTTTTCCAGCTTATTAAGGCATTCAACAAAATCTACCAAAGTAAAAAGAAGAGGTTTGAATAGAATCACAGGTTAAATTGATATTCATTTATTAAAAACTGGTTTTGATAGATTGATATGATTTTTTGTTCCTTCTGCTGGTACGTTATGATAATTCTGAAAAAAATTGATTCTGATCTGAATTCTCTCTATTAAACTACAAAAAATCCAGTTATATCCATGTGTTGAATATTTACTACTGACAATGTAATTTATTTACTGTTAATTTTTCTAACCATTACACTCCATATTGTACATTTGATAGCGTTGGAGGAGCAAATTATCTGAATCAAACAATAACAGTACCAAGTGAGTGTCCTAGTTTTATTCCCCTTTCACTCTCACTTTTAAGAATTACTTTTTCAGCTAGTGCTATGTTTAATGCATTTCCATATTTGTTGAACTGTTGACTGAGCCAAGTACAAATTCTAACAGCCCCTATTACTTTCCAAATTAAGTGTAAATCCTCAATCAGTGATTTGAAACATTTTTGTACGTTTTTGATTTTCTGTTTGAAAGGAATACAATGGATAAGTACATTTGTAAAACATGGAGACAGTATTCTGAACAATTTTACTGGTGTTGTAATTTATCAAAATGATCAGAATGACAGCATTTATTATCAATTAATTATAATTATAAATACTTTGCATGGCTGTTTGATTTCAAAGAACCCTTTTTTTACAGATATCATCAGGCAATTCAGTCCATCTTTAAAGGGTGCATCTGCAAAAGTGTCACAGGATGCCAATAGTTTTGTTGATGATCTTAATGTTGCCTTTCCTGGTGCTTCTGCTAGGTAATGTAGTCATGTATTGAAAGTATAATTATTCTGACTTACTTGTTTGGCTTTAGTAAAAATTTCCCTTTTCTTTTTATCCAGAGGGTAAATCATGAAGAAGCACTGACAGAAGTGCCCCAGGATTTTTATCCTGTGAACAAGAAAAAAATAAAGGCTGATAGTTTCTAAAGAAACTGTTTGGGGCTGCGTTGGTGGGGTAACAAAATAATTTCAATATATCAACAAAGTTGAAATGGTAAATTGGCCACTGTTACGATTATAAAAGCTGACGTTTTGAACATTAGCCCTTTCTCGGAGCTAACGCTCCAAACGTCAGCTTTTATAATTGTAATGGTGGCCAATGTACCATGATTTCAACTTTGTTGATATGCTGAAATTAATAAGAAAAAAAGCTTCAAGTTGTGTGAAATATTAATTGGGAATGTGTGAAAAATTTCTTTGTTTCCTTGTTTTGAGATGCTGGAAACTCATTTCAAACTTGAATCAAAGGTCTTGAAACTTGACTCATGGAGCAAGATTCAGGGAGTGAGTTTCAAGTGACTGTCAGTTAACGCAGTACTGTATTTATTTAATAGATCACGACAGTACAGGTATCCCAGAGGATTTAATCAATTGTTTGTTTGTTTTGTTCTTAAAAGTGGTCTTGAAAATCAAGCAAGAGATCTTGTATCAAGAATGAAAGCTATGAAGGTAATCAGAGTATGATAATAAAAATGGTCCTGTAAATTATTGTTAGTATTATAGAAACTGAAACAACTTTTTTTTTTCACCAAAGTGTAAATAAATTGATTTAAATTTCTGTGTTGCTTGAACCAAAAATAGGGTATTGACTTCAAGAATGACTGGAAACTTCTTACGGTTTGGATTGGAACAGATGACCTCTGTCAAGTATGTAAGAATGAGGTAAGATTTACCCAGCACATGTACAAATGCATAGTGCTAAAGTTATCAACCATTTGCTGTGGTACCAAAAGTAATATTTTAAGTATTTATTTGAAAAGTATGGTATCAGTTGTGATTTATCACCCAGTGAAATAGATGCTACTAGTAATTGATAAATTAGAAATAAAATGGAATTGTTAAGTTGGGATTTTAAATATATATTTTGTTTAGAGTTATTTAGTCATACATTAATAACACATTAATTTTTATGTCTAACTACCACTCCCATATGTACCAGGGATCACATCAGGCTTGTACTCCTGCAAGCTGAGCTTTTACTGAAGACAAGTAAAAACAGACTAAGTGTACAAAGTTAATGATAATGTTAGCAAGAGTTTGAGTGATTAGAAGTTAAATACCAGTACTTGAGTCCTTGATATTAGTTTATTTGATACATTCATTTGTAAGTTTGGTTAGTGGTTGAAGTGGTATTGAATTAATGACTAATGCATGTTCTACTTTTGGTTAATTTCAGGATAAATTTGGTGCTGCTTCTTTCATAAAATATATGATGCGCACACTAAATTACCTAAGAAATGAGGTAACTTTGACTTGATGTTATCAAATTAAGTCAGATTCGTGATATGAACTATTTCCAAATGAATGTTAAGGGTACAAATCCCTTGTAGGAATTGTAGAACATTCTGACTGTTTTTACTTTGGTCTTTTGGTCTCAGATTTTCATTACTGTTAACGTTGGATGACTTTGTCTTTTTTTTTTTTCTTAGGTTCCCAGGCTGTTTGTGAATTTGGTTCCGCCCATGGATATTTCTCCTCTTTATAAGTTACATCAAGCAAATACCAAGTCATGTCAAATTCTGGGATGGTAGGTTCCATAGAAATATTTTCTTGTCCCTGGTATCTAATGCTTAGTTCAGCAGAGTGTTGTCTCCTTTTTAGTATAAAAATGAAAACTATGCTGCCTCATGGAGATAGGAAGACACATTTGGCTATTTTTGATAAAGGTTTGTTGTTCCTGCACAGTACACAACACTAAACTGAAGTTGTTGACCTGTCAGAAATAGCCTAGGGAGGGTGGGGAGGGGGTTAGGTGTGGGCAAATACAGAAAAGAGGGTGAAGGACTAACTGCAATTCCTTCAGGCACATTTTGGTAACAACTGATTTCTCATCAGATCAGCCTTTTGCAGAAATTTTATCTTAAATGATTGCACAGCCATGACTCAGACAACAGGTTATTTTCTTTTCAGGAGTTCTTGTCCTTGTTTGAGAGAGGGTGCCACAGAAAGAGCAAAAATCACCAAGGCTGTCAAACAGGACAAGGTTGTAGCATACTAGTTAAAAGTTTGTTTTAATCACCTCTGTTAACTTCTTTGTAAGGAGTAATTAAATATAATTAAATATTAATGACTAGTGTTTGTAAGCATTATTGCAAATAATATGGTCTCTTCTGGATTTAATTTAATAGATTGGTGGAAGTGGATTTAGTTTACGAGGATGTCAGCTGTAGCTATCAGCTATTTGCATGACTTTGTTACAGTCATGTAATTCCTGTCAGGCTATAACCAATTGATATTTTACACAATTAGGCAAATTATTATCCATCACTCAGAAGTGTGTAACCTCTACATAAAAGCTGCTTATGGATGCTAAATGTTCTTGGCTTGCTAATCATATATTATGTGTAATGTATTAGAAATGAAAATAGAACTTTTGGGAGAGGCAAGTGTACAAGTTGCAATCAAAGAGCTATAAATGGATGGTTCTGATTCTGTTAAGTCCCTGAGATCATCGTTTTCTATTCTGCTTCATTATTGATTAAAACGATTACAATATAGAAAATATTTTGAACTGAAAAGAATTGGAGTGCAAATGAACATGCATTAGAATAACTTATGATGCATTTTGACAGATTTTTTGCATTGATCTTCAGAAGTTAGGATTGCTTGACTTAATGAGCTGAAAGTAACCTTTTTGTGTAATTAAATCCTCTTAAAGCTGGGATTAATTAACCTGTAATTTTTTCTATCTATCCCTACAAAGAAATTATTGGAGGAACTAGTGAATAGTGGAATTTATGACACAAAGGATAACTTTGCAGTGGTTATTCAACCTGCCCTCCAAGTGCTGCCAAGAAATCAGGTATGCTTTCTGTTATCCAGTGTTAGAGATCAAAATTGTTTGTAAAGAACAGTGTACCAACAGCACATATCTGTAGAAATCTTTCAGCTGTGGTGTTAAAGTTGATGGAGGGTTTTTCATGTCAGTAAATAAATGTCAGTACAGGTTTGTCATGTCTATAAGCACCAGCTGCCAGCAAAATTCACTGTCAAGAAAAAGCAGCAATCAATGTCTGGTTTTTTGCAGGTGTTCACTCTGTAAAGCACCATCAGCACTTCTGAGATAACTCACTTACAATGATTCAATATTGAATGCTTTCTGAGTTTGAGTGGTTTCTCTTAAAATTTCAGCTTGCTGCCCAATTTATTAGTAGCAATGTTGCTGGTGTTAACATTGTAGACAACTCATACACTGTGGAGCTGTATTTTCTTTCCACAGGATGGTGATTTTGTGAAATCTTTTTTTGGTGTGGACTGCTTGCACTTCTCTGTTCAAGGTCACGCTGCAGCAGCATTCGCTTTGTGGAACAATATGGTAGGTTGGTCATTATAAATTGATGATACAGTATATGTATAATGCAGATAGATATTCATAGATGGATCCTCTAGATTTTTAGTATTGAGAGGGTTTTATAGGCCCTGGAACTAAACCCTTGACCTGCTGAGTTGTGGGAACTTTCTTTTCCAGGCCTGGAAAGTCTGTAGATGTATTTGAATGTGGGGGCGTGGGAAGTAATAATTAAAAAAAAAAAAGGGTCAATATAGTTTTGAAGGAACACTGAAATAATTAAAAACATACAATCGTAGATTAATAAGACACCTGGAGCAAAAATAGCTAATTGTATATTGATTAACATGTAATTAAAAAAATACTATTAGATAAAGTTGCAGACAAGGCCATTGAAAGTTGTATTTTTTAATTTTGACCACAATATTAATTCTGTTTGGAGATGGATGTTGGCTGACACTTGACAAAAAAATTTTCAGTATGAATTAAACAAATTAAATGTATTTTACAACATATGGAAATAATAACTTTTGAAATACTGATTGTAGTTAGAACCATTTGGATCTAAGACAAAGCAGTGGGGAGACCAGGAAACTTTGAAATGTCCATCTAAGGTATGCGATGTTTAAATATTCTTGTGGGTTCATGTTGGAGGTAGGGAACTTCAAGAGAAAATAGCTCCTTTTGGACTGAAAAAGTACATTGGATTGTGAGAAGCATCCTGCAGCTGTACACAGTCCATGTCAAACTTTTCAAAAGTATATGTATGATCATGTAAACTTTGTGGTTCAACCTAAAGAAGCCTACCAGCATGTACCCAGTTAACAAATAGACTCCATGTATTTGTATGTCTCAGGAATAATTATTGTAGATCACAGATGATGCCAAAATGAGATAAAAGCAAAAGAGTGGTACATTAGGTTCAACCATGTCACTGACATTCTTACTGCATTATGATGTTATCTGTGATCGATTATTGTACAGACCCATGGAAACAAAGAATCTAATTGTTTTATTAATGATAAAAGGGCATGTTGTTAATAGTGATGCCATCTATGCTACTGTCCTGAGCAAGAACCAATCAGATTAAAAGTGCAATTCAGCTTGTCATATGTTTAATTATCCTCATTAACAGGGACCAATGCCTACAATTCAAAATATTGTTGACCCATGAGATAACTAAAAAATTGAATATCATTAATGGCATCTTAGCATTTACAGTTGACTGAGAGTGATTTTCGCCACTTTTAGGATAAGCCATTTTTGTACACCAAAGTGAACAGTAAAACAGTCACAACTACTTTTGCTGATGATGATAATGATGATGATGATGACTTATCTTCTGGTGACTTTCCACCTGCTGCTGCTGTGGCTGTGGCTGTGTCCCTCACAGCTGTTGTAGTTATTGTTGTTGTGATGGTGTGGAGAGGACGAAAATCAAGGCGGAGACCAGAGGCATCTCGATTGCTGTTTGCCTCTGGACCTCACAAACCAAGAATATGAGCTTTTTCTTTGACCCTTTTACTCCCAAGATCTGATTGTTAATTCTCCCCTTTAGCTGTTACACTTTTCCCTGTGAATTAGTACGGAGAGTTTGGTGTTAAATCAAGATATCAACCTCTTCCTCACAAATTGATAAGTTTGAGTATTCTCACTACCTGTTTGCTTGATGATGTAGGGCTATAATTTATTATAAGAAGTTACATCATGATGTTAATCACTTCTGGGAGTTAAAAGGCGAAAAAAAAAAAGACTTGCTATTGAGCACCACAGTTCACCAGTTTAGGTGATTATCAGTCCTTCGGGCTGCAACCACTTTGGTCATGATGATGACTAGAAAGTTACTCTTGACAAGTGAACTTACAGTCTATGGCAAGTCACTTACACTGGTATAAGGTGACCCATGTTCTGGGATCATGGTGTTAAGATTGGCTAATTGGAAAAGACTTTGTAGGCAAAATAATTTATTGGTAAAAACAGGTATTTGATTGTAAATACTTCATTGTAGAATTCTTAACTAAATAATTAAAATTTATTATGATGAAGATTTACATGCTACATCTAGCTCTTGTTAATAATGAAATAGAAGTTCATTCATAATGATTGGAAACTAGTAGTTTTGTGCTTACTCCTGGGAATACACCACAGTTTTTGTTTCATACACTTCAGAGGTAAAAGAGCACAGTATCTCCGACACTTTTCATCCCGAGACAACATAATTATTCAAACATACGTAACAATCCTGTAGATGTACATACCCATCACAGCCTTCAATATTGAATATATCTATATATCTTATTAACCAAGCACGAGGGCTGTACTGGGAGAATATCGGCCCAAGGTCTTGACAGTACGGACCGAGCGCAGCGAGGTCCGTACAAAAAAGACCGAGGGCTGATATTCTTCCGGTACGGTCCCGAGCAAGCTTGGTTAATAAGAGATTTATCATACGACTGAAGTTCAAAGGGACACATTAGTACGGTACCATTCAGGACCATTTGGGACAGTGCCCAGTCCAATACTGAGAGAATATTGACGGGCAATAGAGATTTTGATTGGTTGATGTTAGTTATTGGCTCTCTGACTGACCGAGTCATGTAATAATATTATCCAACTGCACAAAGTAGAATACCAATAAGGCACAAATCGAGTATAAATGTTGTGTGATGTTTGTACTCCAGAGAACTGTAAATAAATATCTGGGAAATTGACCTGCACTGAAGTAACAACTTGGCAGGTTGGATAATAAATCTATTATTAAACTTTTTGTTGTGTAGTATTGCTGAGTATGTTTATATGTTGTTTGTAAAAATACATATATCTTGTTAGACGTTTTGTTGTGTAGTATTGCTGAGTATTTTTGCGGACTTGTCAAAATACAAACAACAAGTAAAAATACTTAATGATACCACACAACAAAATGTCTAACAAGAGATTTATTATTGAACACACCAAACTGTTATTTCAGTGTGGGTGAATTTCACCAATACTTCTAGATATCGTGTGATATTTGTACTCATCTTGCGTGTTATTTGTACTATGCAATGCACTGTTTTGGATAATAATAACCCATACTTTGCAACAAAATGTTTAATAAGATATATTTACTTTATTAGTGTGTACTAAAACAGTGCATAGTGTTGTGGGGCACTCTTGTTAGCCATTTGAATTCCAAGTTCTCTTGCCCTTCACCTCCGAACAACATGCAGGTTTTGTGCCCGAAAATATAGGTAAATATCAATAAATTAGTTAAAATCATCTTTTTTTATGCTTTATTTTCAATGTAGGAGGCTAGGGGTGGATATTAATCAAGTAGCCGCTTCATGGTTCGGTGGATGTTCACCACTAGCCGGCTCCTCTTTAGTGAGTAGTTGTTAACTATTAAAATTAGAGATTATCAATCCAATCAAAAGCAGAAAAAAAAAAGTTCATTACCTGACCTCTAAGGATAACCTTGCCATAAAAAGGCACACTTTAGCTGTGCAGTTAAAAAAAGAATTGCCAATTTTTGGAGGTATTTCAAATTTTTTCTTGGACTGTTAAAAGCTTTTTTGCAAGATGTGGATTAAAATTTTTGGCAGTTCATTGAGTGAATGGTTTATATTTTTCACTTTGTCTTTCCACATGTTAGATGAATACCAAGTGTTGTTTTGTTTTCTTTGTCTAATATAACAGTACATATTTTTTTAATGTTTATTTATTTTAATTGACCATAAGAATGCTACTAACAAGACTTTGTTTTCCCATGTTAACCTTACAGAAAAGTATGGGGTATTAATGAACACTTCTTTGCCTTGTCATGTAAAGAGTTTCGGCCTCATATTAGTATTACAGGCAGGTCCTGAAAACATACTTCCAATACTCAAATGGGCCAAATAAAAAAAAAAAACATTGCAGCACAAACTTTAATAGTTTTGTTTTTCAAATACACAAAACTTTATTGAAGTGGATGATATTGCTAGAAAAAGATTACAAGAAAAAGGTGAAAGGAAAAGAGCTTCTTGAAATGTAATTAATCTTGCTATAAAAGTGAAAGTGTCCCAGGGAAAAGTCTTTCTCCAGAAAAGGTGTTTACACACACTTCACAGAAAATATTTCCCCTACATGTGCAAGAAGAACAAGACATCCACGGAAGTCACAGCATGTTGGCATTCCACCTACACATTCAGCCCATGGGTTGTCACACAATCCAGAGTTGTATTACAATAAAAATAAGGGGAAACAAAAGAGTGCTGATCTTCACAAAGACCTGTCATTTGCCAGCTTGCTTTCTTAACATGATATAAATGTTTTCTTTAATCCATTCCTTGTTGTGTGGTTCATACAAAGATGTCTGCTTTGGGTGCTGTCTGTTGAGAGAGAGAAGGGAACAAACAAACCGCAAAAAGTCATCTAAATCTAACTAAAATTTGAACAAAAGAATTTCACAGAAGGTAAACTCACTATTCCCTATAGTGAGTTCACCAGGTTGATTCTGCACAAAAGCTTTCCCATTGTGGAAAACAGGAGAAGGAAGTTCAAATTGTGAAAACATCTCTAAAGTTCTAGGTCCCATAGATTTATAAATTTAAAACATTATCCAAACTTCTCCTGATAAGTCACTATTTTTTCATAAAAGCAAAGTTGTGCAGGCTGTAGTATGTCAAGTGTTAATTGTCTAGAGTAGGCAAGTGCTGTGAGAGCACAGCCCTTCTGTCAAAGGCCATCTCTTAGCAATTCCCCAACTGAAGTTTCCATGAAGGACTACAAACATCCATTTATACCCTCCCCTACAACAGGGCTCATCACTGACAGTAGCCAACTAGCCACACACTAGTAGAAATTCAGTTTTGACAAATGATTTTGATTTCTACTAGCTAGTTTGGCTAGTAAACAAACTGAAATTGCTGTAACATCTACGTTGTCACTAGCCACTTTGCTAGTAAGTTGAAAAGTTAGTGTGGAGCCCTGCTATAGTATATCAAAATTGAAAAATTTTCAAATGACCATAAGATTGGTCTGGGTAGAAACCTGATCATCTAATTTTCTGGTCAAGTTTTGATAAAAACACATCAATTGAACTCCCCCAATAAGGCTTTTCAGGGCCAATACAAACAAATTGTAAATAAACTTCATAACTAAATAAAAAGCTTGATAATCTCAACTGATCCAAGGCAGATCAGTTGGCTATGATATAAGATGCAGCCAAAGGGTTGAAGTTGGGGTAACCAAGAACAAATCCAATGAGTAACAGAGTGGAGGGCTTGCACCTGGGATCACCAGATTACAAGTCCAGCACCCTAGCTACTTGGCAACACTGCCAACTGCAAGTACCCAACCAAATTATCCAGCTGCAGAACTACTGTTAACCACAGTCTACAAATCTAGGTTACAGTAATTTTGTTAAGGAGCTTCTTTTAGAATGGTACACCAAACAAGACAGGTCAGTCAGGTTGTCGATATAATCGAACAGTTGGCTGATGTCATATGTGATTGATGGCGTGCTTGGGTTGGACTTTTTAAGGTACTCTTCAAATATCTTGCAGACTCCTGAAAGACACATTTAATAGAATATAGTAAGAGATTCTGCTCTATTTTTTTAATCAAGACAAGTTTTATTTGTAACTCTCCCATCTAGTGGCTATCTCAGGGCTCAACACTAATTTTTCAACTTACTAGCCAAGTGGCTTGTGACATCTTGTATGTTTTAAGATGTTACGACAATTTCAGTGTTTACTAGCCTAATAATATACATGAAAAAATTTCTCAGTTCTGATTGGTCAAGATGAATGCAGTTTTCAGTTAATTCAGTGCAGAAGAGAGTTAATTCAGTGCAGAAGAGAGTTAATTCAATGCAAAGATAGAAACAAACCAAACATTCTGATTGGTCAATGTCAAGGTCACTTGCAGGGTTTGAATAAATCATTTTTGCACATGATGCGCACGCTTTTCTTCTGTGTAGTTATGACAAGCTCCCTCATATTTTTTCATGTATATTATTAATAGATAATCACATGATTTTCTTGTGCAATTTGGAATAAATAAGCACTTGTAATTTTTTTCAAAGACCACAAATTGTACTCGCCCTACGGGCTCATGCAATTTTGTTAGTCTTTGAAAAAATTACTCGTGCTTATTTATTCCAAATTGCACTCGAAATCGTGTGATTATCTATACAAACTGGCTAGTGGAAATTGAAAACCAGTGGCCAAAACTGAATTTCTACTAGTCTGTGGTTAGTGGGCTACCATTAGTGTCGAGCCCTGTATATATTTCTTTGTAAATTAGTGGAGAGGATCTGGGGTTTCATCAAGATAAGACAATCAAGCAGATAAAATTGTCTATTCCCTTACCTGTTTACTCATATTGTAAGTGGAAGTTATATATTGAACTTTTCTGAGAGTCAAAGGTTTACTCACACTCTGGAGATTGCTAATTGTTTCAGTCCTTTAAACTTAATAACTTTCGAGGACTTTTTTCCTTTAGTTTTTTTAGGTGTCGCTTGATACAAGTACCGTATTTATCTGTGTTTAAGTCGAACTCGTGTATAAGGACACCCCCCCCCCATTTTCAAGGTCAAAATCAGATTTTTCATCATTTCTTGTTAAAGAAAAATTCAAACCAAATAGAAATTTCCGAATTGTTGATATCTTATTTCTGAGAATGTATTGAAAACACAGTGAATTAAAAAAAAACTGCAGAGCAAAATGTAACCGTATGCTGTGAAGTTTAGTAGCACTTGTTTACATCACCACAATTTAAGCATGTACAAACACTTCAGTTTACTGGAGAAGTAATTTACCACATTTTTCATATTGCTTTGAAAATGAAATCTTCACGCATTTAAATAACATTCATCTTGATGTTGAGTTTGAAAGGAGGTTTAGTAGACCGAAGGAACACCAAGGAGCATTTGCCAGGTCACAAAGCTACTGTAATCATTCAATGAAAACAAGAGTTCAGCACCGTAAACAGCAGCAAAGCTGTAAGAAAAATGCCTGCTCTACAGATCAGAAGATACAATAGAAATCAGCTCCAGTAGGTTTCTGTTTAAGCCACATAAAATTTATTATTTCAAACTTTTTAGTTGACAAAGAACACTCTGAAAACTGATGAAACTCAAACACAAGTAGAGCTGGTTTTGTAAACTCGGTTTTCCTAACAGACTTCAGGCAATTGTTATGCTAATTTCTTGGATTGCTTGTGTCAGGTCTTTGTATATGACCCATGTAAGAGTCGAGGGTGATTTTTCGGTCATAAAAGGTCCACTTATACATGGGTAAATATGGTATGTGTGTTACACAGCTCTTTGATCTTGAAATAATGTTAAAACTATACACTGCCTAAGGCACTTTTCCCCTTCTGCTACCAAGACATTTGAAAAGCACTATAATTAGCTTAAAAAATGAACTTTCTATCTTTAACATAACCTGTGCAAAATCTGCCCGATGAAACAAGGGCATTCTCACCAAAAGTAATAGTCAAAAACTCTCAGTTGCAAAATTGTCTTCTGAAGAGTTTCTTCAAAATATTACAATATTACTCAGTAATGTTAAGTTGGAGAATTGTTTAACTCAAGAAGTAGCTAACAGTAACTCCACTTACTGATTTGCTTCATAATTTGGTAGGATACAGTTTATTGAAACTTGAGATTTAGCCACATATATAGGGGATGACGCTGTGCAATTGCGGAAACACTCTTGCCTCTGAGGCCTGGCTTTGATTCCTGCACCTGGGATCACTTGAGGGTTAAGTTTGGTTTGATTTCCTTCCTTCTTCGCTCCCAGGTCTGTTTTCCTCCCTCCACCAAAACCAACACCAAAAAAATCCCATTTGACTCAGAAAACAGGGGAGGAAAATCCACAGCTAAAATCCAATTTAATATCATATCTTACCTTCCATGCACTCATCTTTAGTTTCATAATCAGAGTATGTCCTGGATTCTGGCTTTGCACTGGGTTGGATCAGAAGAATGGTGTGACTCTACAAAGAGAAGAATACATTCTTAAAGTTTTCCTTTGTGTAACAATAAGGGTTTCCATGAGCTCTTTCAATTAAAATATAGATTTCATATCGCCATGTGTCTGTTGTTATGTAGATCACAGATGACATCAAAATTTGATAAGAACAAAGTGGCAAAAGTGCGGCAGCTGAATTTGTTACTAATACTCTAACCACATTTTCACATCTTCTGTGATCCATTACTGCACAGGCACACACCAACATAAAATCTATTTGTTTTACAATACTTAGTTCTTATTAACCGAGTGGGAGGTCTGCATGGGAGAATCTTGACTGAGGTCACCAGTACAGAGGTCTATACCAGCGACCAAGGTCAAGATTTTCCCATACAGACCGACCTAGTTCGGTTTTTTATATTCTTTGTACCTTTTTTCTAGACCGGTCTTGATGCCGGTCTAGATGGGAAAATCTAGACCGCTTTCAATATTGATTTCAGCTAAAAAAAATTCGTGAATTCGGTAGTTCCCAGTCCTTGTGAGACACAACCATATAATAAAAGCTGTTAATGGTAATGTCATCTCTGTGTCTGTGCTCCAAAAGAACTAATTAAAATGTGTGAGCAATTCAGCTTATCATTTCATTTCCATTGAAACTTATGTGTTAGAGACAACATTTTCTTCTAATGTGATCTTGAAGTGTAAATCATCACTAAGAAAACAGTTAAAGTTCTTTGTGCCATAGTTTCCCTGAAAGAAAGGGGGATTAGAACAAGATATTATAAGATGTCCTGGATTCAAGCCCCCCACCTTGCTAAATCATTATTAATATCACCATACGAAGGATGGGGTATCTATCACTATTTCTGGCCAGTGTTGGCGGTAAAAACAAACAAAACTTGATAAGTTCCAAGTTCCGGAAGTGGAGGACTCTGTTGTGAACGCTTCCGATTATCACAGGTGAAGTTTCACTCTTCTTCCGAGAAAAAGATACAGAACCATAATTTTTCTCCAGCTACTGCAAATCCCAAAAGCCGTGTAAACTATACGATCTTTCAAACTCAGAATCTTTGGCAGTTTTTAAATGCATTACAGAGACCTTTGAGTTTGTGAATCTTAACTACATGTCGGCAACATAATTTCAAATTCAACGGATTATTCGCTTAGTCCAGGCTACGCTTTCTCTTAATGATAATAGGGGTATTGATCGATGAGAAATGGATTTCTACCACATGCGAGAATCGTGAACTCACTGCTCTAAAATATGAGAAAACAGAAAAAAAAAAGATAGGTTCAAAGAAAGAGTCGCCTCAACAAAAAATACATAATCATGTAAACAATTCACCGAGGCTGATCATCTCAGCCCTGCACTGCGAAACACATTCCATGTCCACCTATCTGCAGGTACATCAGTGCAGGTTGAACACTGAGAGTAGATGAAACTACTCTAGACTTACCATGTTGGCAAAAAGAACGTTTGAAATCGGTGAAAATACACAGATGACCACGTGAAAGCCGAGAGACTCTTCTTTTGCTTTCGGGCATTCGCGATTGGGTCGAGTATCCATATAAGGAGAATCCCTCTGGAAACACATGGGGACTGGTTCCAGAAAGGTAACCAATCAAACACTTCGAAAGAATAAAAGAAGTATAATTTATGTGTAGCATCGCTGAGTATTTTTACGAGTTGGCCGTTTAAAAAATACATATAACGAATAAAAATACTCAGCGATACGACATACCAAAACGTCTAATAAGTTATTTATTATCCAACACCTTAAATTGTTATTTCAGTGCGGCCGAATTTCGCGGATATTTATTTACGGGGAGTGCGTGACAGAAGTATGCGAAGCGGAACGGAATTGGCACAATGTCATGTTGCTGTTTCTATTTTCTTCAACAAATGATGAAATTTCACTGTCGTCTAACTGCATTTCTTAGTTCGATTTATCTAATAAACTTGGATGAATATTCGTCAGCCATTCCGACTCTTCGTCGTCAGAAAAATAATTTAAATTGTCAGCCATACTTCAACCCAATTCGTCGTTAACGCGATGCGAGAAAATCTGTCAGTAACCGGTTCGCTGGAGTACAAATAGCACGTGATATTTGTACTCTTCTTGGGCGTTATTTGTACTCTACGAAGTGTAGTTGGATAATAAAAGCTGTTAGTAGCGAGTAGAGAAGCAGAGAGGCATTTTGTGTGCGTACCAGGTCTGGGACGTACTATGTGTTAAAGACGTTACTATGACGTTACTATGTGCATTGGGGCCTCTAGGAAACCGCAAAACCGGAGAAAAACCTCCAAAACCGAAAAACCGACGAAAAAAGGCAGCAAAACCGAAAACCGCTGCAAACCTGACAAAACCGCTACATTTTCACCTTTGAAGGGGTCAATGAGGAAAAACCGAAAACCGCATCAGAGGACGTCTTCGTGAAAACTGAAAACCGAATGCAAAAACACGTAAAATCCGCAAACCGCTCTGAACATCAAAACCGAAAAACCGAACCTTTTTGGCCCAAAACCGAAAAACCGATCCAAAAAACAATCAAAACCGCAAAACCGAAAACCCCAAAGCCCCCCTTGTTCAACCATGGAATAAGAGATTGATTATTCCACTTTCGAGTCTTTTGGACTGCGTAAGGTATTTAAAGGCCATTTACACGGCAGAAAAATCGGGTACGGACTTGTCAAAAAATTAAAGGAGTACGGACCTGACATTTTTGCCCGTGTAAACAATCCGTACCATGTTTTGGGGGATGGGTACGGACCCGTGTTTTTTCTTGTTTTGGGCCGATAGACGTCTATGGCCCCAAAACCAGAAAAAACACGGGTCTGGACCAATTTCTTGCATCACGCGTCGCCATTTTGTTTACAAGAATTACCGTATTTACTCGAATAAGCGCCGCACCCCCGATGCAGCGCTTATTCGAGGAATTCCGTGTAACCAGGAAAAACACTGAAAAAAATTTTAACACAGCATCGGCAATTTATATTCTTTAAATGTGATGTTCTTTAGTTCAAAGTGACTGTATTTCTCTGCTCGGGTTATGAAACGCTCGGGTTTTTTTCACCGCATGAATTTCTCTCGTATTTCTAGATTTACTATCAGTTTAACATCAGTCCATTGGAAAATTGACAGATAGAAAGTATACCGTTGAATAAAATTATAGAAAAAGTAAATTTGTCTGGTACAATTTTTAAATAAGCGCCGCGGCGCTTATTCGAGTAAATACGGTACGCATGTTCGATAACAGCACATAACTGTACCAAATACTGTAGTCCCATGCAAGAAATTGGTCCGGTCCCCCAAAAACTGCAGTGTAAACGCAACCTTGCTAACTTGGTCCTTATGCCTCTTTTTGTCCGACCCGTGGTAAAACATCATCCGTGTAAACGGCTAAAATTATGCGGTCCGTACTACTTTTTTGACACGTCCGTACCCGATTTTTCTGCCGTGTAAACGGCCTTTTAGTCTTATCTGAATATCGTACCAAGCCCATAATTATTATGGGCTTCGAAGTTCGTTTCTGGAAAAACGGAAAAGAACTAAAAGATCCTGGAATCAGTTTCCGTCCGTATTTTTGCCCTGTTCTCCATTGTCATACCGTGGCATATTTTGAGCATTACATTTCCCTATAAAGATGCTTTTTATTTATATCCAAACTTTTACAAGGTATTTCAAACCGCTAAACTGAACAGTATAAGGGTTTTTGTGGTATAATTAGTCAACAGTATGACAATATGGCGGCCTTTAACTCTAAACTAATTTAAAGTGATATTAAAGAAACACAGATTGCAGCTCACTTAATGGCGACTGAAATATGACAAGGGACAACCACTGGTCGTAAAAAAAGGTTAACCCTAAAAACCTCTCTTTGACTGTCACGCAAAGAATTTGACCGCTAGCCGTAAAATGGCCAAAATTTTAACCGTTTGTCGTAAAAGCCATCGCCCACTTGAGACCTTTTATTACGTCAGCCATTACTAGTAAAACTTCCGCTCAACGATTATCTAATTTTTCGGTCCTATGGACCATGGGAGGTTACTCATGAATTAATTTGTTTCAAAAGGTGATCAGAGAAATCTGTTAATGTTAATCAAATCACGAAACCCTTCTAATTTATGATAACTCTTTTGAAAAGGGGGCTCCTATTTTGAGGAGCTCCATACATACAGTTCAAGGGAAAGTCTTTGCTCGGTTCATTAGCGAAGTTTAGTTAATAAAAGTCCACAAGAGTTAATAATGTGTTTTTAGGAGCATGGAGTGTCCCTTGGACAAAACGCAACATCACATTTTGGGGTGCAGTCTAGATACCAAAAATAGGCGCAGCCTCCTCCGCGATTATCGGTGTCATCTCGAAACGGCAATGTCCATGCAGGAACCTTGTTGCTGCTCCATCCACTGCAGCTTTGCCGGAAACCCTGACACTGAGAACTTCCTTCTGTTTCTTTAAAGCAGACTCGACAAACTGGCTTCTTTTTAGTATACGTTGGGGCAGCCCGAGATTCGATTCTCCAAGCATATCTACAGCCACCACCTCTGTTGTCTGTGTCATCTCGAAAATAACTAGTCCAAGATGGGGTGCGGCTCCAACCGGTACATGAGCTTCGTGTCCCTTGGCACTGTGAGCTTCCTTCTGTTTCAGTAAAGCAGAGACGGTACTCTCTATTTACTCTAATGTTACGGTGTGCTTCAATTTTCCATTGATAATGACAGCCTCCACTTCGCTGGTCAGTGTCGTCTCGAAATGATCGGGTCCACGCAGGATTTGAACTCCACCCACTGCAGGTGAATGATGGTCCTTGACATTGTGAACTATGTTCAGTTTCTCGGAAACAAATCCTGAACCCATCCTCGGCCCAGGATGATGACAACCAGCCGATAAAGTACACAAAAATTACAAGGCGCCTTCTTGCTAGGGTAACCATTGTTCTTTGCTGACACTAACTTCAGTTTTGAACCACAATAGTCTTGCTCACCTCGGATACTAAGATCAAAGGAAAAAAATAACGGAAAAAGATTGAATAATCGTTAGATGCACGCGAAATAACGACAAATGGACAACGGCACGGAGAAAGAAGCGAAACGGAAATTAACATTTTCTATTTGGGCAGCGATAACTGATTTCCCACGCTTTTGTTATATATCATAGTCACAAATAAAGGTTTTTAAAAGTAGGCTAGATTAAGGAAGAATGGTATCTTTCTCTGAGAATGATATAACATGGTCAACCTAGGATTCACAATCAGGGGAAATTATTGGCATAACCGCGGAGAACGTGTAAATACCGAATTGTTTTAGCCATAATTGTTGCTCTGTCAGACCTTAATCTTTTCTTATCTCTTGCAACACAAAAATGTCTCGAGAGTATACTATGACAGAAAGTGTGGCAGACATGGAAATTTTGCAGAAACGAATTTAAAGTTCGTTAAGGTGATTTTTTTTTTGGCAGCTTGATTCATTTTCCCTTCTTCACGAATTTGGATCATAAATTGAGATTTAAAAGCAGATCAGTTATACTAAATGAATAATCGTGCCTGTTTAACTGGCTGCGTGCATGAACATTGACTTTATTGCCCCAGAAATAGGAATAACATTCCTACACGCTGGTAAGTCAGTGATGTTCCGGGTTTATTTCGAGACTGTCAGCTAAAAAAGCAGCTTATAGGAAAAAAACCGACTTAGTGCGCCACTTTCAATCATGGTAAACAACACTATAAAGGTTACGTATGATGCACGATCCTCGCAGTGGAGAGCGCTATTTAGAGCGCTATCATATATTCATTGTAACTATAAAGGTTATTAGGTACAGATTCTAAAAATAAAAAGGTTTTATTGTTTTGGTGGGCACGCAGAAACCTTTCAATACAGCGGGGGGTTACAACGGCTTTATACGCTTGAGTAAGGTCAAAATTAGTTTGTTACGCGTGAATTTTATCAAAATGCGAGCGTGATTCGTAAATTTATGAATCAGTATGAGGTGTCTTTTTTCCTGTCTGGGTCTAGAGGAAAACGTGGTTATTTTTTGAGTAGTTCAGGAACGCTTTCTCCTGTGAACGTACTTCCTTTTCATCAACTAAGGAACACTCAGAAAAAGGCATCATTAGGCGAGAGGTCATTGTGGTTTCTACGTGACGCTGTAGCGCTTGCGGCGACCAAAACAAATCTAAGTTCTCAGGTTCTAAGGGGTGTCGCTCCAAGACGCGGTTAACGAGGTGTATGGGGACTATTTTACGGATCGAGACAACAAACTAGAGTTGACTGTTTGCGCGAATCTTAATTCTTGAAAGGTAATCGACCACGAACCACAATCAACGACGAAAAATCAGGATCAATCTCACAATCAATCAATTTATCGCCAACTGAAACAGCGATACAACGAAGTTCTATCAATCTAATGAAATGTCGCGAAATACATAATCAAAAATTCGCGTGTAAAAAACTGAGCCTTAACGCCGATAACGAGATTAAAATGACGATGAATCACACTACAAAAGTTTCGTCACAAATTACAAGAATATGATTTTGGTGGCTGGTTAACGAACCATTGTTCTTATCCAAATGGTGGGCGTTCACTTGCATTTGATACATTTTGGCTTTTAAATCTTGAATCACCTTAGAATACGGTAATACAACGAAAAATCTGTTCATATACTTTCGACCAATACTGAAAAATTAGACTTTCGAAAACAAAGTTACAAAGGTACTCACATATCGGTCCCGCTTGTGCCAAAGGTTTGAGAAAAAGAAAGGACGAAAGTTCACCAAGACTACTTAAAAACATACGAAGAACTGATTGAAGGGACGCTAAACTCGCCTTTTATATGCGCGTGGTGACGCTGAAAGGTTCGATTACAAAACCAATAGCAATATAGAAAAACAGATAAACATTGAAACTATGTTCGTATCTAGGATCATTCTAAAATTAGTTGACTAATTAATAATCAATTCAATAAAAATGAGCATTCTGGCTAGTGTGGCAAAATGTCCGGCAACCGCACTGTCCCAGATTTATCTGATATTCATTTGATATTCTTAAGAAGTTTGAAAGAAAATTTCCGTTGAAATTCTGTGAAAATTTCTGACTGGCGGCCATTTAGTCTATTTGAAATCAAATCGTGGCTAAGTGTCTGGCTGCTGGGAATTTAGCCACTATATGTAAAGTGTGAATTTTACAGAAAGGCGAGCGTGATTCGTCGTAAATTGATGAATCAGTCCGAGGTGTCTTTGTTCCCGTTTGGGTTCAATGGAAATCGTGGTTCATCATTGAGTAATTCGGGAACAATTGCTCCCGTGAACGTGTTACTTTTCATCAATTGAGGAACACGCGGCTACCGCAGGGCATCTCTAGCCGAGAGTTTCGAAGAGTCCTAGAAGGTCTTTCGATTCCTTATGCCATGAACGCTTGTTGACTGAGATGGTAGATGTGAGATGGTAAATACATATAGCCCACGACTAACGTACCGCCCAGTTGGCCATAACCAATCTCGTATACAACAAGCGCGAGTGGAATACTTTTTTTACGAAATTTCCATTTTAGATGATGCTGTGGGAGTTTACGCTCAACTGTTTTCAAATTCAAGCGAACACGGGATGGCAGGGGAAGGGGGAAAGTGACGAGGCTTGGGACCGAGAAACGATGATCACTTGTCAGCGGGCTCAAAACCACGCGGGCCGCTACAAATCCTTTACGAACGAAATATTGGTCTTGTCAGGAGCCTGGTCTTGTACGGTTTGAAAATTTTATCATGGTAAGACTGTACATTGTGAACACCATTTTTTTTGCCTGTTTGTTGATTTTGCTTTGGCGAAGCCCGTTCGAGGATACGAGGAAATTTAAAAAAGCAAATCCGAGTTCAGGGGAGAAATGTCTTCGTAGGGAACTAGCTATAAGTTGCCAGTTGCAGCTCAAAGCTCTAAGCTTCGATAAAAATCGTACAAACACCTCCACGAAGTTCACTTGTCGTCACTTTGACTAAGGGTTAGTCGAGGATAGTCATTTTAACTTGTCAAAATCGTAATTAAATTATACTCTACCACTTAAATTACCGAAAACACGAAACCACGCTAACCCAGAACAACTTAAAATAGTAACCACAGTACATTTTGAGTAGATCTGGTAAATTCGTCTACGTGGAAAATTTGAGCAACGCGGAACGCGTATATATTCAACCTCGTTCCCAGGGTCTCTCATCTTCCCACCCCCTGGAGCGATAGAGGGGGCGGGAAGATGAGAGACCCTGGGAACGAGGTTGATGTATATTGTGATTTAACGATTTATATCCTCGTCAGACAAATATATTTATCCATCAGCAAAGCGTTTCACTGTCATTATTCTAAAAATATTACTCTGTTTCTGCATAAAGAACCGAGACAAAAAATCTTTGAACATCCTTCATTTACTAGTTTGGTTTTTGTGAATGTTATAATGCAAAGGCCTGCCTAAAATCTCGCTGCAGAAATCAGCCGAGCAGACAGCTATAAATTAACAAGTATCGATCCCGGCCTGACGTTCCTTAATATACGGAAAGCGTCTTCGGATCCTTAAAAATAACCAACGAGGCAAGGTTCCTCAGTTTCCTTAGTTAATCAAGTTAGTTGAGTGGGAAAGGGGGGGGGCGGAAGCCCGGAAAAACAGGGGGGAGGAGAGGGTGGGAAGAGAGATCTATCTGAAGGCGGGAGGTGGAAGCAGAAGTTAAAAAGGCGCTCGTTTGTTGTTTATTGCTGTTTATCATTCAGATAAAAACCAGTGCATGACTACTTGTATCAACCCCTTTACAATCACATGAAATGAACTAGATAAACTCAGAATACACTGGCTAAACCATTGCTAATATCAATTCACTAAGCGGATCACAAGGCAACTAAAATGAAAAATCAATCTCAAGCGGAGTTGTCTTTCAGTACAAAGTATTTATCTCTAATCTAAAATCGGCGCGCTTTTAAAATCAAGGCTACGATTACTGCCATTTCACGATTTTTTGTTTCAAACTTGTTTCATTGGCACCTTCAACGTTATCCACTTCCTAAAATTGATGGAACGAACGGAAATCAGTAAGAATAAATCATTTCAACAATATTTTAAAGAAACAAGATGTAAGTTGATGTGAAATGATTTTCCGGCTGATTACCTTCTTTTCCTTGAAAAACTTGAAATGTGGAATAGAGGTAACACTATAATGTTTGGCCAGCTCCTGAAAAATAGAAAACTGGCTTAAAAATATGTAGTCAAGTTAAAGGCATTTTTGGCCTCTTCCTAGCGCTGATTTATCAGCAAGTTGTTACTGGATGGGAAGACTGGAATGAAATCGTTAAATTTGCTTGCAGCTCGGACAATTTGCAGAGGGGCTTTCAAGGGGTCCGTTTCTCGATAGTCCCGATAGCTCCGATAGTCCCGATAGCTCCGATAGTCCCGATAGCTCCGATAGTCCCGATAGCTCCGATAGTCCCGATAGCTCCGATAGTCCCGATAGCTCCGATAGTCCCGATAGCTCCGATAGTCCCGATAGCTCCGATAGTCCCGATAGCTCCGATAGTCCCGATAGCTCCGATAGTCCCGATAGCTCCGATAGTCCCGATAGCTCCGATAGTCCCGATAGCTCCGATAGTCCCGATAGCTCCGATAGTCCCGATAGCTCCGATAGTCCCGATAGCTCCGATAGTCCCGATAGCTCCGATAGTCCCGATAGCTCCGATAGTCCCGATAGCTCCGATAGTCCCGATAGCTCCGATAGTCCCGATAGCTCCGATAGTCCCGATAGCTCCGATAGTCCCGATAGCTCCGATAGTCCCGATAGCTCCGATAGTCCCGATAGCTCCGATAGTCCCGATAGCTCCGATAGTCCCGATAGCTCCGATAGTCCCGATAGCTCCGATAGTCCCGATAGCTCCGATAGTCCCGATAGCTCCGATAGTCC